CCCCTTCCTAAAGAAATGTGCTTTTAGGGAGACGGAGGGTAAAAAAAGAGGAGGGGGGGGCAGAGTCACACACGTGTCGAGCAAGGAGCGCTGCAAACGGGGAAGAATTCAGCGCGGCTCTTATTATTATTTTTTCCTGATTATTTTTTCCACGGTGTTTTTACCCTCTTGCGTTGTTTTTTTGGGGTTCAGTGGCTGGGCAGGCGCCGAGAGTCGTTGGGGCTTTGCCCCCCAGGAAGAAGGGCCCAGCCTGGGGTCCTTCTCTGAGAGAGGGCGCCCCCTCCCTCGCTCGGCCTCCGAGGAAACGCCACTGGGATCCTGAGAAATATTGATAATATTCCTAATAGTCCCCCGAAAACGTCATCCTGTTAGGCCGACTAGTAAACTGGACTGGCGAGGATAAGGGTGGTGGCTTCATAAGGGCGACCAAGCCGCAGAAATGCTTAGTTAGGGCTTTACTTGCGAGTAAGGAAATCAAAGAGACCCTTTGGGACTAGGATTTGGGGTTAATTTGGGACTAAGAAGCAAAAAATGCGAGTGGGTCTCCCTCGTTCCTGCGAGGCTTATTCCCAGGTGCTTTAAAATAAGACTACCAGCAGCTGTCTTCACTTGCTAAGCCAAGCAGCACGTCGGAACGGCTGCTCCTGCTGCGAATTGCACGGCTGACCTATTCCCGAGAAACCTGCGTGTTTCGTCTCATCTCTAGGTTTGGACCCGTTTCCCTCAGTTCCCTGTTAAATTGCTTTTTTGGGGGGGGCGGGGTATGTGTGTGTTTGTGGGGGGGGAAGAGGCGGTCAGGATCCGGACTTTCCACTCTCCATCCCATAATAATAAATCGAAGCAAAGCCCCTTTGATGTGAAGGGAGGTCGATGACAGTTACACGAGCTTAGTTCTTCCCATACTAGAACTTTTGGAGCAGATCCGAGACCTTGGCTTAAACGGAGCTTGCTTAAACCCCGATTCTCCTGGTTTAATTGGTGTTTCACTTGCTTGTGACCATCCTTGGTTGACTCGGCCTTCCATCCTTCCGAGCTTGTAAGACGAGGACCCAGATCGTTGGGGGGCAAATAGGCTGACTCTGTAAACCGCTTAGACAGGGCTGGAAAGCACTGCGAAGCGGTATATAAGTCTACGCGCTCTTGCCGTCCTTTACCTTAGTTTTTCGACACCCAAATCTTGTTAGTTGTACCTCGAGCAAGTTATAAATCCGAGCTAAAAACCCGTCCTTTTGTAACCCCGCCAGTCTTATACCCATGATAGACTAAACCACAGTCTAACATGGCCATATTTTAACCTAGCCTGTAGCCAGGTTCGAGGTGTGCCTTGTGAAAAATCAGAATGAGTTGAAACAGGGTAAAGCGCGCGTTGGGAATACAAGCACAAAATACGCGGCTGCCTAGAGTCACAAAGGGGAGGGGGGGCGGCTGTGTAAATCGAATAAATGAACATAAATAAATAAAATCCCTCAAAAAGAGACCTCATAGGTTTCCAGCTCCACTGAATGAAACAGTAAGTCAAGGGCAAGCGGTTTATCAAGCGCAAACGGATCAGAGCCGCCTCCGTTTTAGGGTTGATCTCACCCCAGTCCTTTAATTCGAATTATCAGCCAGGCCCATCTCTTTTAAAAATTCTTTTTAAAACTGGTTTGAAAGAAAGCCTCTTTGAAATTCAGGGGACCTTCCTTCGGAGGAATTAGATCCCCCACAAAAAAAAAAAAAAATAAATTAGCTTGCGAAAAATAAAGCGGTTTAAAATGGGCCCTTTTCCCTTTCAGCTACAAGTTAGTTCCATGTGATGGAATTTAAATCCGAGGTGAACTCGGTTTAAGGGAATTAGCAACCCAAGAAAGGGACTGACGGGAGCGGATTAAGAATGAAGGCCCCCCCCAAAAAAATGGGTGGTTAAATGCTGCAGATATAAATGAAAATAATTATTATGTCTGGGGTGTGTGTGTCCAAAATGGGAGGGGGTTAAATCCTTCTGAAAATCGAATCGGTGGCCAGAAACGACCCCAAACCCTGATCTAGTGATCCAATGGCGTCTGATTTGAGATTTACTTCCGAGAAAAAAAACCATTCTGTTCACTCTTTGCACGTGTGAATGTGTCTCCGTGTTTTAAGCCTGGATGTTCAGGCGGTCCCTTGTGAGTCGTAAGATACGTTCTAACGCTAGCGTTAAGCCTTGACGGCGTTTCTTCGAACCCAGAGCTGTTGAGCGTGAACCAGAGGCAGGTAGATCTCGTTGGAAACGGATTTGATCGCTTTTAAGGATCCCGGGGCGGCCTTGTATTCGCTCTAAGGACCTGATTTCCCAGCCACTAGATTTCCCTTGTCTCTTGGACACCCCCCCACCCCATTTCCCCACGCCAAATAATTTAGAATAGCTCCCCATCCAGGCTTCCTCAGGACTGATGGGACTACAAGCCCCATCTTCCCCAACTCGAACTAGTAGCCATACTGATAACCTGGGCTATTGTCCCAGACCCAGAGGGAGTGAAGCCTGATTGAATTGGATCACCCACCCACCCCTTTGCGGCTCCGGGAATCCAATGGAGTTTGTACCCGGGATCTCCCTTGATTGATTGATTGATTGATTGATTGATTGATTGGAAATGAACCTGCCGGATTTGCCCCGTTTTAGAGATCCGAGCCAGTTAGAAGGGGGAAGAAAAAGCATATAAAAGTTGGGGGTCCCGTCGTTTTTCTTCAACTTGTTCGGGAGCAAGGTGTCTCCCAGATCGGGTGGATCGGCTCCTTCTCGATCCCCCGAGCCAGCTGTTAGGATCGCTCGCTCTGCGCCGCGCTTTTCTCTCCCCCCCCCCAAAGGGGAGACCAGACCAACCCGGCGCTGCTGCCAAAGATCGGCGACTCTTTATTCTCTTTAGTCGCCAGGATCTTGGATCCAAACGGATCTTTCTTTGCTTCCGGAGATCTCCCGCCGATCCGGTTCTCGTGGGGAGGCGTGGAAGTGGAAAGCAGGGGGGGGGGGCTTTTGCGCTTCCTCCCCCCTCCCTTTGTTTCAAACCAGCTCCGGTGAAACGCTCGCCAGAGAAGGGGGGGGGGATCCGATTCGAATTCCTGCGGCTCGCCGCTGTTTGTCGGTTGGGTTGATGGCAGCCGAGGTGCGGAGGACTAGCGCCTTAGGGAGGCCGCAAGCAAAGAAAACGGGTTTCTGTTGGCTCTCTCCGATTTACTCTGGAGTCAAGCGTCTTAGTGGCCTTCGAAGGAGACAGGAGACGGGGGGGGGGGGTTGATCAAAAGAAGTTGGTGCTTTGGGGTGTACGTCCTTCCTCCTTTGGGGGGGGAAGCCCTTTTGACAGCCCCCGGATTTCCGTGGGAACCGAGAAAGGAGGGGAGGGGGCTTCCAACTGTTTTCCCCAGAGAAAAAGGAACTTTTCTTAACCTACCTTTAAGCTGTCAGCATTATTGCTATTAATCTGTTTCGTCGTTGGATAGAATTCTGCATCGATTTTTAACATTTTTCCCCCTTTATTTAAGAGCAGGGAGAGTAATGCTTTACAGGTTGAGGTTTCAGACTCAAATAATTCCTTGCTGAGGTTTTTTTTTGGGGGGTAGGGTGGGGTGGGGAAGAATGGGGAAGCTAGAGGAAAAAGAAACCAGAAAGTCAGAATTGTAAGACAAGGCTTGGAGCACAGGAAAATAGTTTCTTGAGCTCCCCTCCCATACAGATAGTCCTTGGCTTACAACCATGCCATCAGCCTTCTGAAAAATGTGACTTAAGACAGTCCTCGCCCTTATGACCACTGAAGCCTCCTCATGGTCGCGTGTTCCAAATTCAGGAACTTGACCACTGCAGCATCCTGGGGTCCAAATGATCACCATTTGCGACTTTCCCAACTGGCTTTCTGACAAACAAAATCAGTAAAGGAAGCTGGATTCACTTAACAACCTATTGATCCATTTAACGATGGATGCGATTCGCTTAGCAACCGTGGCGATAAGGTAATACCTTTGGACATGACTCGCTGAATGACGACTTTGCTGACCAATGGAAATTCTGGTCCGGCACCATAATTCCTCTAATTCCCAAGACATGGATGATGATAAATATATAAATAAAAAAGCAATTATGTGTTATAAAAGCACACTGAAGAATGTGAGGTTTCTCCGTCTAGGCCCCAAGCAAGGCGTTGTTTGAGCCTGGGACCACCATTTGTAAAGCTTTACTCGTGAGGAAGCTACTTAAATCTCTCCTTGTTCTTATACCTCTTAACCTGGGCCAGCAGTTTTAAAACAGAGCTTTTTCTTCTGCTCTTTCAATTTTTTTTTCTTCTTCCTAAAAAACAAAACAAAACCCTATGGAGAGGGCAATTCCCTCTCTGGGAACTGGCTTCCGGGACCGGCCCGTCTCCCTCGGAATTTTCTCTGCCCCTTCTGTCACCAGCAAAACCATTTGATTTATTTATTCAGTTTCTATAACTTCCACCCAAGTGACTCAAAAATCATCCTTGCCTCTACTAGCAAAAAAAATATAATTAAATAAATTCAAGTTCAGTTTCGGATTAAATTTGGGGCTGGGCTGATCCTGAAAAGAGATTGTTCCATAAGCCCTTTTTTTTTGCTGATGCTTTCCTTCTCTTATTTATTATATTTATTATATTTATTATATTTATTATATTTATTTATTTATTTATTTATTTATTTATTTATTTATTTATTTATTTATTTATTTATTTATGATGGGATTGCAGTGTTCCCGAGAACTGTATTTAATCCTAAACTCTCCCTCTTTTTCTCCTCCCCCCCCCCCAAACAAGTATTCTTTCTAACTTTATTGGTGGATGGATGGATGGATGCAATGGGATTTTTTAACGGGCATAAAAACAAAACAATAAGCAGATTTCCCCCCCCCTTTTTTAAAATGAGCATGATAGCGTCACACAGCCGTGTTTAAAAGAGGTCCGGATTTCCCCCCCCTCCCCTCTTCTCTTTGCCTAGCTTTTAACCTGCTTTCTCCTCTCTCCTGGCTTCCTTTACAGACGATCCTCAATTCCATGCATAAGTACCAGCCCAGGTTCCACATAGTCCGAGCTAACGACATCCTCAAGTTACCTTACAGCACTTTCCGCACCTACGTGTTCCCGGAAACCGACTTCATTGCGGTGACCGCTTATCAAAATGACAAGGCAAGAACTTGGTGGGGTATGCCTGGGTGGGTGGGTGATTAAGGGCTGGGTCTCTCTTCCTTAATTTCCTGATTTGTCCCGCCTTTCAACTCTTAACTTCCAAGGGGCTAGATTTGAAAAAATGAACCAGCCTAAACAGTAGATTTCCAATGGGTAATTCAAGGTAGACTGCCATGATCCACGGAGGTTCCATTGAGCTTTAAGCTTCCTGGATTTGTCTCTTTTTGCTCCTCCTCCTCCCCCTCCTCTTCTTCTTCTTTTTTTTTTAAGTCTAGGAATTTGAGACAAGTAGCCACCCCATCGAAGCGAGGTGTAAGGCTAGTATTAGGGAAAGAGAAATCTAATTTCCGCTCTACGATTTGTGACCGGAGGCTTGGCTTTCGGTCTTAAATATCTAACATGCAGGGCGGATTGTATATTTATTTATTTAGGTTATGTCCTGCCTTTATTACTTTGTAGGTAATTCAAGCCAGCGAACGTATCCAATACTTCTCCCTCTTCCTATTTTTCCCACAACGGCAATCCTGCGTGGTGGGTTGGGCTGAAAGAAAGGGACTGGCCCAAAGTCACCAAAACCGATTTTCGTGCCTAAGGCGCAGCTAGAACTCACCGTCTCCTGGTGATTGGCTCAAAGCCACCCAACCAGCTTTCAGACCTAAGGTGGGATTAGAATTCTCAGACTCCTGGTGATTGGCCCAAACTCACCCAGTCAACTTTCGTGCCTCAAACAGGACTAGAATTCTACACCGCCTGGTTTTCAGGCCAGCACCTTATCCGCTGCTACACCAAACTGGCCCTCTATTAATATTAGAAGGGGATACCTCATCCGTGCGACGTTTTTGTTATAGAAAAAAATCTCCAAACTATCCCCCCCTTTATCCTTCTGATTTTTTGTGTGTGTGTCCTCTAGGAATATCTTCAAGGTTTTAAGAGATGTTCCAGAGTCTTTATCTATCTTCCAGAAACATCTTTTTTAAAAAAAATGCTTTCACACAGTTTCTCAGTGTTCATTTCCCCCCCCCTCCTCACTTCCGGGGTGAGGGGAGAGGGAGATAATAGAATAAATAGAGGATTGTAGGAGCCACTAGTTCAGAAGAAATGGTAACCCCGGGTGACCGGAACCGTTGCCGCATTCACACGAATCAGCCCTAGTGGCCTGATTCACACAACTTCCTAAAACAATGGGTGGTTTTTCGTGACCCTTTGAACTCAACCCCATTAGAGCCAGTTTAAGATCGAGGGCAATAGAAGAAGGGGACTACGGAGAATGAGGTGGCTGGATGGAGTCACTGAAGCAGGAGGCGTGAGCTTAAATGGACTCTAGAAGATGGTAGAGGACAGGAAGGCCTGGAGGAACGTCGTCCTTGGGGTCGCGATGAGTCGGACACGACTTCGCAACTAACAACAACAAAATATGTAAAACCAGGCCATGTAGTGCAGACTAAAGTTCCTATTTAGCTAAAATCTGCAAACTTTAGCCAACCCTGCATAAGTGGTGCTTGAAAGCACCCTCCAGATTTCCCTGATTTTTTGGGGGGGGGCGTCAGGAAAGGAGCAGGGAAGCAGAGAATTGGGGTCTGAATTCCCCCAACCAGCTTATGCTGCCAATTGAATAAATTGGTTGTATGCTTCCCCCACCCCCTTACCCCGCCGTGCATTAACCAGGAACTGACTTTATTTTTATTTATTTATTACATTTCTTGGCCGCCTATTTCACCACAAGATAATTCCACTTACCGCACTAAGAATGAAACTGTAAAATATAGGTATAGAGAGAGAGGTAAAAAGTCACGTTCCAGTTTACAATAAAACGCAAGCTGACTTGCAAAATGCAGTTGCTAATTCAGTCCCTGAAATTCTAAAACCGCTCGGGAGTGGAGCATCAAAACAAGGCCAGAACTGTCCTCCGAAGGGCCTTGGTAGGTCTTCAGCTGACCTGGTTGTGGGAATGCAACCCCGGGTTTCAAACAGGTGTCCCCGAGAATCGGGAGAGCAGCTTTCTCATAATACATGCAAGAAACCCCGCTTTAAATCAGCACATTGCAGCAAATCTCTGTAAAATAGTTTTTTGGACAAGGCCTCCTTAGTTTGTGGTGCTCGGGCCTAGAAGGAAGGAAATGAGGGAGAGGAGAAGTTTTTATAGTATAATTAGGGTCCGGATCCAAGGTATAAACCCCTGGCTGGAAATGGGATCGGAATTAGATCTGAAGCCGGCAGCAAAGGAAGGATGCTGAGAAATTTCTTTTGCAAATGCTAGCAGGGAGGGACTCGGCTGAGAAGAGAGGAGTTTTTCATTGCCAGCCCCCCCCACTTGTTCCCCCCTTTTGCTTGGGGGCTTTTGCTTCACGGTGGAAGGTTGTTAATCGGTTACGGCCTTCGCCCTTCAAATTTACGAGGCCACCAGGCAAGAGAAGCCCAGCCAGCCTGGGGGGGGGGGAAGGGGGGGAAAAATCCCTGAAAATCTGGCTTTTACAGATCTTGGGGTCTGGAGATGGGGCGGAGACCCCTTCCTTCCTTTAGTCCCCTCCAAAAGCCCCACTTCTCTGCCCCCTCCCCCCCATTCGCATTTTCTTCTATCTTATTTCTCCAACATTCTGTTTTTTAAAACCCCAGGGAATACAGTCCTTGACTTACAACGGTTTGCTTAGTGACTGTTCGGATTTACGACGGCACTGAAAAACGTGACATTGTTGGGGGCAATAGGTTTGGAGTGTTTCTGAACATTATTTCCATTTTTTTTCCCTCAGATCACCCAGCTGAAGATAGATAACAACCCCTTTGCAAAAGGATTCCGAGATACAGGGAATGGACGAAGAGAGAAAAGGTAAATTGAGAGTATATATATTTTTTCCCTTAATGTCAATAAAGTCGAATTTATTCCAATGGGCCAATGCACTTTCTCCTTATCTTTGTTTGGTCATCCTAAATATAGTCCCTCGGGAGGAAGACCTGTACTGGATTGATTTTGGAACAAGCTTTCACAAAATTGTATTGCAATGTTGTATTGCAAATTTGTTATTGTTATCGGCAACCTTAGTGATGTTTACTCAGAAATGTTGTGGGAAGCCTTACGAGCTTGACTGAGTCTTCAGCTTGTTGAAAACAAGAGAAATTAACCCAACTTTGTAATCAAATACTGTGTTCATCCAAGATATTGAACTGTGGTTAGTTTAATCATGGTTTATTAAACAACCTCCTGCTGCCTGGGTTTTGATAGCACCTTGCCATAAACATTGCATATAAATCCCGCAAGTCACAGTTGCGGGATTTATATGCAACTCATTAAGTTGCAGAGAAGGGAAGAGAGGGGAGGGATGGGGGGGAGAGAAGGGGAGGAGAGGAGAGAAGATTAGGGGTGACAAGATAGCAGTGTTCCAATATTTGAGGGGCTGCCACACAGAAGAGGGGGTCAACCTATTCTCTGAAGTACCTGAAGGCAGGACAAGAAGCAAGGGTCGGAAACTAATCAGGGAGAGAAGTAACCTGGAATTAAGGAGAAATTTCCTGACAGTTAGAACATTTAACCAGTGGAACAGCTTGCCACCAGAAGTTGTGGGTGCTCCATTACTCGAGGTTTTCAAGAAGAGATTGGATCACCATTTGTCTGAAATGGTATAGGGCAGGGATAGGCAACCTTGGCTCTTTTATGACTCGTGGACTTCAACTCCCAGAATTCCTGAGCCGGCATGGCTCAGCTTGGAAACCTCTCCATTTCTCCTCAGCATGGCTGGCTCAGAAATTCTGGGAGTTGAAGTCCATGAGTCATAAAAGAGCCAAGGTTGCCTACCCCTGGTAGAGGGTCTCCTGCTCTAGCAGGGGGTTGGACTAGAAGACCTCCAAGGTCCCTTCCAACCCTATTATTCTATATTCTATTAAACCCTACACAAACTTGACTCAACATTCAAAGCACGACCTTAGCTAAAACATGGCGTCTTCGGTTAAAGCACAGCTTCCAAGGTACCTTAAACTGCTCTGCCTTCCACAAATAACATGTTATCTCAGCCAGCTCTAAATTTTAGCATTGGGGAAATGAGGATGAACTTGTGAAAGGAAAGGAGGTCTAGGCCGTGGTTTTTGCTCCAGGTTTTATAGCAGTCAGTAACCCTTTAGCAAATGGCAGCACAGGGGCCATTTTGGCTATCTAAGCAGGGGGAGGCCCGGTTAGCAATTGGATGGGAGATCACTCGTTGATTTCCTAGCATGCCAATTAGGCTGAGAAATTAATCAACTGAGAAAGCAGCATCAAGGTCCTTCCACATTGCCGTCAAGCATATAAGGCAGATTTTTGAGCGGGAATCCATTTTCCTCAAAAGTGGCTCGGCTTTAGTGAGGTGATGTCCATGTCTGGTTTCGTTGGGAACTTTTGGGGTACTGTCACCTGGTGGGTTTTTTTGACCTCGAGAAGTAAAACATAGACTACAGGTAGTCCTCGACTTATGACCACAATTGACCCCAACATTTCTGTCGTTAAATGAGACATTTGCTAAGTGAGACTTGCCCCAGTTTACAGCCTTTCTTGCCACAGTTATTAAGGGAACCGCTCCAGTTGATAAGTTAGTAACCCGATGGTTAAGTGAATCTGGCTTTCCCATTGGCTTTGCCGGTCAGAAAGTCACAAAAAGGGGATCCCATGACCTTGCGACACAGAGCCGCGGTCATAAATATCAACCCGTTGCCAAGCATCTGAATTTTGATCACATGATCACGGGGATGCTGCAACGGTCGTAACCGTGAAAAGCTGTCATAAGTCACATTTTTCAGTTGTAACTTTGAACGGTCACTAAATGAACTATTGTAAGTTGAGGACTATCTGTTGAAGGATTGGAAGGGACCTTGGAGGTCTTCTAGTCCAACCCCCTGCTCAAGCAGGAGACCCTACACCTATGTCTCTCAACCTTGGCAACTGGGAGATGTGTGGACTTCAACTCCCAGAATTCCTCAGCCAGCCCAAGCAGGAGACCCCACACCTATGTCTCTCAACCTTGGCAGCTTGACGATGCGTGGACTTCAACTCCCAGAATTCCTCAGCCAGCCCAAGCAGGAGACCCCACACCTATGTCTCTCAACCTTGGCAGCTGGAAGATGTGTGGACTTCAACTCCCAGAATTCCTCAGCCAGCTCAAGCAGGAGATCCTAGCAAGTCTGGCTAGGGAATTCTGGGAACTGAAGTCCACGCAACTTCCAGCTGCCAAGGTTGAGAATCAGTGCTGTACACATCATTCCAGGCAAAATGGCTGCCCAATCTCTTTTTGGAAACCTCCAGTGATGGAGCACCCACAAATTCTGGGGATGAGAGGGAGAAAGAAGTGGGGGGGAGGGACTCAGACCCTCTGAAACGCTGATGCTGAAGATTAAAACTTGTCCCCCTCCCCTTCTTTTCCCCACTGAAAGGAAACAGCTGACTCTGCCTTCCCTGAGGATGTATGAGGACCCCTGCAAGCAGGACAGAGATGGGGGCGAATCGGATGCCTCTTCTTGTGAACCTGGTCCAGTTCAAGAGTCCCTTCACTCCCCGTTGGCCACAACTCCCAGCCCTTTGCGGGTCCACCGGAACAGCAGAGGTGAGGATCTTTCTGGAGGGGAACAGAGCCCACACGGGGGTGGAGGGGCGGGTCCTTCTCCAAATGGGGAGGGGAGGCACCCCGGTTCCAATCCTGAATCCCTGGAGCCCCCGTTCAGCATTTTCCCCCTTTAAAAAAGTTTGAACTTTTTCCATGAAAAAAAAACCCAAACATATACGTAGTCCTCTACTTATGACAGTTGAGCCCATTTCTGTTGCTAAGCGAGACAGTGGTTGTTTGTCCCATTTTGCGACCTTTCTTGCCATGGTTGTTCACTGAATCACTTGCAATTGTTAAATTAGTAACACACTTGTTAAGCGAACCTGACTTTGCTTGTCAGAAGTTCCCAAAAGGGGATCACATGACCCCGGGACACTGCAACCGTCATTAAGTACATGCCAGTTGCCAAGAGTCTGGATTTTTGGTCACGTGGCCCTGCGGATGCTGCAATGGTTGTACATGTGAAAAATGGTTGTAAGTCATTTTTTTCCAGTGCCGTTTGTAACTTTGAACAGTCACTAAACAAAAGGTTGTAAATCAAGGACTACCTGTACTGCTGTGTGATCTAACTCCTTCCCAAATTATAATCGTAAGAATCCACCACCCTATCCCAGTTAATTTATGCTGGTAGTCCTCAACTTACGACCACAATGGAGCCCAAAGTTTATGTAGTTAAGTGAGAAATTTGTTAAGTGAATTTGTCCCATTTTACGACTTTTCTAGCCACATTTGTTAAGTGAATCGCTGCCGTTGTTAAGTTAGTAACGCGGTCATTAAGTGAATTTGGCTTCCCTGTTGTCTTTGCTTGTCAGAAGGTCGTAAAAGGGGATCACCTGAACCCAGGACACTGCAACTGTCATAAATATGAATCAGCTGCTGCAACGGTCATAAGTGTGAAAAACAATCATAAGTCACTTTTTTCAGGGCCGTTGTAACTTTGAATGGTCACTAAGTGAACTGTTGTAAGTCGAGGACTGTCTGCATTTTGCCATAGTTGGAGATTTGCAGGTCCCAAAGAGGTGAGAAACAGAGATGTTTCTAAGCTTAAATTATGTTTATTCATGGAGCAGACCCTACTACACCTGTGTCTCTCAACCTTGGTGATTTGAAGATGCTTGGACTGCAACTCAAAAAAGGGTTTTCCCCAATATTTTAATATTTAAATTTTTTTAAAAAATATTTTCTGCAGAGAATTATCTCTCTGTTCCCTTCAACTTAGTTCCTTGCTACTCATAATGTAATTTTGGGGAAGAGAGACTTTGCTACCCATCGCCCCCTGCTGGCTGTATTAAACCCACTTTTTTTTCCCTCTGGAATTTTTAAGACACATTTTGCCCTAAAAACTTTCAGAAAATCCCTGGAATTCTTAAAATTAGTGAGGCTTTTCTAATTCTTAAAATTAACGAACATGGGGGTTTCTAAGTCCCCACCAAATGAACTGACAATAAAAGGATCAAGGTTGCCATCTTCACACACCTATAAGTGCCCGCAAAAAATTCACTATACAGGTAGTCCTCAATTTACAACCACGACTGAGTCCCCAATTTATGTTGTGAGAATTTTGTTAAGTGAGATTTACCCCATTTTACAACTTTTCCTGACATGACCTTGGGACGCTGCATAAATGTGAGTCAGTTGTCAAGCATCCAAATTTTAATCACGTGACCGTGCGGATGTTGCAATGGTCATAAGTGTGAAAAATGGTCATAAGTCACTTTTTTCAGTGGCGTTGTAACTTCGAATGGTCACTAAACAAACTGTAATTAGGACTACCTGTAATTAGGCCATTATTTCCTCAATCTGGGGAATTCTGCTCATCTGGTTTTAAATTTCTTGGAATTAAAATTTCTAGCAGTTTACTCTCAAGAAATATCTTTGTATCTGCTAAAACCAAGCCAGACAGCCACATTATAGCTTAATACGACAATCTAATTTATGCAACTCTAATGCAATTTATCTAGTTTTGTCTTAGCAACGAGAGATTGCTAACCAGGATTGGTGGTTTAGTATAAAAGAGCAAACTCAGCCAGTAACATGTCCAGGCTTTCAGCCTTAAGCCATTATTTTACTTTTGAGTAAACCTGCACAACAAGAGGTTTTAGGTTTGGTGGCAGGTTTAAATTGATGGCGCTTTAGTTGATCGTTTGCACAGAAATGAATTTCGAAATGCGGTGACTTCAAGATCAATTTTTTTTTGAGTTCTGAATATTGCACACATTATTACAACTCTGTGGTTCCTTATAAGCAAAGGAGAGGCATAAACATTGGCATTTCCTTCTAAGAATGTGTGATTAGGTCATAGCCTCGGAGGTTTTATGATTTATTGATCATACCAAGTCATATTTTAGTAGCAAGAAGCTGTAAATCTGAAAGTCTCATTTATTTGGGCGGCAAGGTGAATACCGGAGTATTTACAGCAAAATATCTGATGTTCTCCAGTAAGAAGGAAGCTATTAAAAAAAAAAATCCCCTTTCTCCTGAGTCACGAATTCTTGGCAGCGCTAATGCCAGGCAAAGCAGATGCTGGCTCAATTTTATAAAATAGGATCTTTCAAGAGACTCCATTTTATTGTAACATTGATGTGATTTTTGTCCATGTACACATTTTATAAATTTTACAGGTTGTTCTTGACATACGAGAACTGCCACAACTGAGCCCCCAATTTCTGTTACTAAATGAAGCATTTGTTAAGCACGTTTTGCCCCATTTTACGATTTTTCCTGCCACGGTTGTTACGTCAGTCCCTGCAGTTGTTAAGTTAGTAACACGGTCGTTAAATGAAACTGGCTTCCCCAGTTTGGAGGACGCTGGTTCCTCCCACTCACAACTCAGCCAGAACAATTAACCAGTGGAACAACCTGCCTCCAGAAATTGTGAATGCTCCAACACTGGAAATTTTTAAGAAGAGACTGGACAGCCATTTGTCTGAAATGGTATAGGGTTTTCCTGCCTGAGCAAGGGGTTGGACTAGATGACCTCCAAGGTCTCTTCCAACTTTATTATTCTATTCTGTTCTGTTCTACTCTACTCTACTCTACTCTACTCTACTCTACTCTACTCTACTCTACTCTACTCTACTCTACTCTACTCTACTCTACTCTACTCTATTCTTCCATTCCATATCTTCTCTTCTCTTCTCTTCTCTTCTCTTCTCTTCTCTTCTCTTCTCTTCTCTTCTCTTCTCTTCTCTTCTCTTCTCTTCTCTTCTCTTCTCTTCTCTTCTCTTCTCTTCTGCCAGTTGGGCTAAAGTGGCCTTTTTCTCCTTGCAGAAGACAAAGGAAGTGACCAAGAGCTGGAGAAGGGATCGGGGGTGAAGAGATCCAGCCCGGACCTGGTCCCAGGCAGCCCGCCCCACAACCACAACCTCTGCTTGCAGGGCGAAGAGCGGAGTAAAGAACGAGGGAAAGCCAGCGAGGTCTCCAAAGAAGGCAACGGAGGCGGTGAGGCCTCCCTCTTCACCCCTCTGAGCTCGGAGAAGGAGAAGCTGGAGGGAAGAAGGAAGGAGCCTCTCCTGCAGCCGTCCCAAGAAGGATCCAAAAAGGAATTGCCGGGGGATTGTGCCCCGGTGGGGTGCAGCAGCAAGGAAGCCTTCGCCCCTCTGATGGTGCAGACCGACAGCCCGCCGCACCTGAGCCCCAGCCACCTTCAGAGCTTGGCTCTCTCGGGCCTCCACGGTCAACAGTTCTTCAACCCTCTGGGTGCCGGGCAGCCCTTCTTTCTTCACCCGACTCAGTTTGCCATGGCTCCGGGCGCCTTTTCGGCGATGGGCATGGGACACTTGCTGGCTTCGGTGGCAGGCGGAGGGGGCTTGGAGAACGGGGGACTCTCGGCTCAAGGGACAGCGGGCACCACCACCCCGTTCCCCTTCCATCTCTCCCAGCACATGTTGGCTTCTCAGGTAAGGGGGCAAGGAGGAGGGGGGGCAAGGGTTGATCTCCCCTCTTCTGCTCAGGATGGGACCGGTCCTGGGAAAAATGGACAGTGCTTCTTTAAGGTGTCCCCTTTAAGATCGGCGGACTTCGACTCCCAGAATTCCCTAGCCAGCCATGCTTCTCAATGCTCCTCATGGCTGACTGGGGAACTCTGGGAGTTGAAGTCCGCAGGTCTTTTTTTTTTTTTTTAATTGAAAAATTTTAAAATTTTTACAATATAACTCCCCACCTCCCTCATACCCCACCCTTCCCCACCCCCCTCCCTTCCCCCCGACTTCCCAGAGCTACACACAGGGTTTACAATACAATAATTATATTCTNAGCCATTTCTGCTAAATTTGAAACTTTAAATGCCCAATCCTCTATAGTAGGCAAACGATCCGTTTTCCAACATTGAGCTATTAATAACCTCGCAGCAGTTATCAAATTCAGCATCAATTCCATTTCTTTTTTATCCAAATTTTCCATAATACCCAGCAAAAATAGCTGAGGCTTAAACTTTATCTTTTTCTTAAAGACAAGTCCGCAGGTCTTAAAGGTGACACATTTAAGAAGCACTGTAAATGCTTCTCAGTGCTTCTCATGGCTGGCTGGGGGATTCTGGGAATTGAAGTCTACAGCTCTTAAAGGTGACATGTTTAAGAAGCACTGTAGATGCTTCTCAATGCTCCTCATGGCTGGCTGGGGGATTCTGGGAGTTGAAGTCCACAAGTCTTAAAGGTGACACATTTGAGTAACCTTGAAATAGGCTGCACAGGAACCACTGGATCCAGTTCCTGAACAGTCCAGTTTTTAAAAAAAGAGACCCGAAAAAATATTTTGGTGTGCGATTTTGAGAATGGGTGCTTTCTAAATTAAACTCAGGAGAAGAATTCTAAATTAAATTCAGGTAAACCTCCACTTGCAACAGACCATTTGAAGTTTGAAGGGCCCTGAAAAAGTGACTTATGACTGTTTTTCACACTTATGTCCATTGCAGCATCCCCGTAGTCACGTGATCAAAATTCAGATGCTTGATGATTGCAGTGTCCCGGACTCATGTGATCACCTTTTGCGAACTTAAGCCAAATCAAAGACAGATTCACACAACCATCGTGTTACTAACAACTTAACTGTGGCAAGAAAGGTTATAAAATGGGGCAAAATTCACTGAACAAAGGTCTCGCTTAGCAACAGAAAATTTGGGCTCAATTGTGGTCGTAAGTTGAGGACTACCTGTAGAGGCTGGTAATTAAGTTCCTCCCCTTTTCAAACTGAGTTCAAACCTGAGTTCCAGGTTTGTTTTAAGTAGGTTTTTGTCCGATCAGCCCCAATTGCTTTGACTCATATATGGCTTTTAGTCAGTGCTTTTTTTGTAAGAAAAAAGGTGCCGGAACTCACATCTTGTTAAGCTTTTATTTAAAAAAATTATATATTCAGTTCTTAGCAGGACCAGTGGTTGAGAAGTAATTTTTTTTTTCATTTTTAAATTTGGGATCACACTTTTACACTAAAAATTTAAAAAAGATTTTCAATTCACCAACAATTTTTTAAAATAAGAAATTATTTACCTTTCGCACGTAGTCAATCACTGTACACACACCCAAACATGTCAGTTGTGTAACAAAACATAATGGTCGCTGCCCGCAGTAAGCACTCAGTGCGCGACCACACGACCAATTACAAGCCGAGCAGCGCCATCACAACCAGCGCGGACAAAGTACGCATGCATCGGACTTGACACACAAGCAGCCTGCATGCACCATTTTAATGATTTTGCCGCCGACCTGCTACGCTCGACAGGGAGATTCAAGTCCACGTAGACCAAACATCAAATTTTCAAAAGTTACTTTTAAAACTTGGAAAAATCCATCAAAAAAAGGTGCCGGAACTCCATTCCAGCACTGCTTTTAGCCATAAATCATAGTTTCCATGAATCTATGGATACGTTTACTGATCAACCAGAGTGAAATGAAATCGAGCCAATTAGAGCTTAATAAAAGTACAAACTTAAATTTTTGGTCTGGGTAATGGAACTACCACCCGACAAAACTCTTGGGCTGGGTTTACTTGACCTCCTAGCCAGCAGAGAGTGTTAAGAACTCGGCAATTACATTCACACGTCATGGTAAACTGGATTAGTTTTAACCTTGGCTTTTTGGAGGGAGCACGTGGTGACTTAAGGGAGTTAGCCCCCCTGAACACATTAAAAGTACATATAGTCCTCGACTTACAACCACAATTGAGCCCAACATTTTTGTTGCTAAGCAAGACCTTGTTAAGTGAATTTTGTCCCATTTCACGACATTTCTTGCCTGCAGTTGTTAAGTTAGTAACACGGTTGTTAAGCGAATCTGGCTTCCCCCATTGACTTTGCTTGTCAGAAGGTCACAAAAGATGATCACATGACCACCACCCCCCAGACACTGTGACCGTCATAAATATGAGTCAGGGGCCAAGTATCTCAATTTTGATGACCTGATACGGTGATGATGCAATGGTCTTTCTCTTTAGTATGGGTAGAGGAATCTTCCGAATGGGGTTAATGGTGGAATTGCCCATAAACCAGGTTTGGGTCTTTTCAGGAGAGAATAACTCCCAGGAATGTCTATGGAGATTCTCAAATATCCAGGTCATGGTTGTCCTTAAGGTGCTTTTCCAAAAGGCAGCTAGAATAGAATAGAATGGAATGGAATGGAATGGAATGTGGAATGGAATGGAATGGACCTTGGAGGTCTTCTAGTCCAGCCCCCTGCTCAAGCCGGAGAACCTATACCATCTCAGACAGATGAATGTCCAGTCTCTTCTTGAAAATCTCCAGTGATGGAGCGCCCACGATTTCTTGAGGCAAGCTGTTCCACTGGTTGATTGTCCTCACTGTCCAGATGTTTCTTCTTAATTCCAGGTTGCTTCTCTCTTTGATCGGCTTCCAACCATTGTTTCTCATCCTTCCCTCTGGTGTTCTGGTGAACAACCTGACCCCCTCTTCTTTGTGGCAGCCCCTCAGATACTGGAACACCGCTATAACGTCTCCCCTATTTCTTCCTTTCTTTAGACTAGCCAAACCCAAGTCCCGTAGCCGTTCTTCGTATGTTTTAGTTTCCAGGTCTTTGATCATCTTAGTTTCTCTTCTCTGAACTTTTTGCAGACTCTCAACATCCTTTTTGTGATATGGTGACCAAAATTGGCTGCAGTATTCCAGGTGTGGTCTTACTAGGGCTTTATAAAGCGGTACTAGTACTTCGGGTGATCTTGAGTCTATGCCTCTGTTTATACATCCCAGGATCATATTAGCTTTTTCTTGGATGAGCATTTTAAACCAAGAAAATCCAGCTACCTTTTGGAAAAAGCACCTTGGGGATAACTCCCATGAGTTTTGTCAAAGCACTTTGATTTTAGCTAGTTCAGAGTCTTCTATTCCAAAGCATAAACGATAAAGCGTCTAGAGCAGTGGTGGCGAACCTATGGCATGCGAACCTATGGCACGCGTGCCAGAGGCGGCACTCGGAGCCCTCTCTGTGGGCACACGCACCGTCACCCCAGCCCTGCCTCCTCTCATGCCCCCTCCTCACCAGCAGCCCTCCAGAGGGGAGTCACCCCCAGGCACGGCCATGCAATGCTGCACAGTCAAGGACATGGTAGCCGGGCAGCGGGGACAAGACTTTGCCCTTACACCCCATCGCGCGCAGATGGTGCTGCAGGGCACGGGCAGAGGGCGGGGCCACCATGGCGCCGCTGGGCTGCCTGAGTAATCTGTGGTGGGCCATGGAGGTGGTGGGTGGTCCAGTGGGCACGGCGGAGCGGGGACAGGGGTTGGGGTGGTGGTTTTGGGGCACGGTTTCTAAAAGGTTCGCCATCACTGGTCTAGAGGCTAAATCGTATGATGAACAATTGTGGGAGCTAGGAATGTAGCCTATCAAACAGGAGGATAACAGGGACATGTAACTGTCTTCCAGTATTTGAGGGGATGTCACAAAGAAAAGGGAATTACCTTATTCTCCAAAGCACCAGAGGGTAGGACAAGAAGTAACATGGAATCTTATCAAGGAGAAAAGCAACCTGGAACTTGCTCCAGTGGAACCGATTGCTCCAGTGTTGGAGCATTCACCGCTTCTGGAGGCAAAGTTGTTCCACTGATTAATTGTTCTAACTGTCAGGAAGTTTCTCCTTAGTTCTAGGTCGCTTCTCTCCTTGATTAGTTTCCATCCATTGCTTCTTGTCCTGCCTTCAGGCGCTTTGGAGAATAGCTTGACTCCCTCTTCTTTGGGGCAGCCCCTGAGATATTGGACCACTGCTATCATGTCCCCCCTCGTCCTTCTTTTCTAGACTAGACATACCCAATTCCTGCAACCATTTCTTATATGTTTTAGCTTCCAAGGAAGGGTTAATGGAGTAAATTTTGGTTAAATTAAGCGTGGCTAAGCAGAGTGGTGCAAATGGGTGTGGAGCCTTCATGCCTGCAGGATGTTTTCTGCCCTGGGTCCCTTCCCTGTTGAAGACAGGCACACAGGCTGTTGGGGATGAGTTTGTGTTGTCTGCATCTCAAACTGAAGCGCAAATGGGTCCTGGAGTCTGCAACGTTTTCTGGAAATCCATTTATACCCCCTCACCATTCGAAGGGTGCCCATCCCAAAATGTCTATGGAGATTCTCAGTCATCCAGGTGAGGGTTGTCCCAAAGGGGCTTTTTCAAGAGGCTTTTTCAAGTTGCCTCCTGAAAAAGCACCTTTGGGACAACCACGACCTGGATGATGGAGAATCTCCATGGACAGGATGGAAGGCAGTTTCCTGTTGAAGCTTAGGAAGGCATCGTATGAGTGGTTTGATACTGGAGTCAAGGGATAGAACAAACTCTTCATCATTGGTTAAGTTCAATTCGGGCCTGGAAGGAGATGACATGACTTCCATTTCTGTAGAGAGCAAAGGGTTGGACTAAATGACCTTAAGGTTTGTTCACTAATCGTGATTTCTCCTTCGTTGGGGTTTGC